AGGCCGGGAGTGAGTCGTCGGTCCAAAGACCGGCGCTCCCCTATCCATGCCTTTTGTAACTCCCCAGATGGAAATTTTTTTTTACCTTTGTTTATTTGAGAATCACAACTGACTGTTGAAATGCAGCAGCTGATGCCAGCAATCCAAAGCTTCATTAGTACAGATGAAGTAGCGCTCACTTTGTTATACAAATAATTAGAGAGATTAAATGAAAATAAACACCGAGAGGATGTGCAGAAGCTCTGAAGTCAGGTAATTATTTTAATTACTCTAGTGACTTCCACCAACCTTCATTATCAACCACGGATCAAATTTAAATTGTTTTATGCAAGAATATGATAAGCTGTATGGAAAACTGCTATTGCTACCCAATCAGTATACTTCATAAGAATTATATCCTCTAGCCAGGCACAGCGGTATACCCCTGTAATCCCAGCACCCTGGGAGGCTGAGGTAGGAGGATCATGAGTTTGAGGCTGGGCTATGTAGCAATTTAGCAGGACCCTGTCTCAAAATTAAAAAAGGTTGAGAATGTAGCTCAGTGTGCAGGCCCTGGACGAGGGGAAGACAGTTTTATCAAGGTATCATTTAAAGTTGTTTCAATTTCACTACCCAATAAACTCTCTACATATTTTAAGTACATAAAAAGCATGATAAAGTGTTGCACTTTAGCACGTTTTACCCTCGTTTTGCATTTCAAACAGACATCCTTAATAGTGCCTATAACTTTGTATCTTTACTCAGATTTGATCATGAGATTTGGATTCACCTTTTTTTTTTTTTTTTTTTTTGTCTTCTTGAGGCAGGGTCTCAGTATGCAGTTCAGCCTGGCCTTGAGCTCACTTTGTAGCCCAGGCTGGTCTCGAACTCGCAACGATCCTCTTGCCTCAGCCTCCCGAGTGCTGGGCTTCTATTCCCATTTTTGAGTCACTGAGTGTAAAATCATATGGCACAGCCAGCCATTTGAAATAAATGTTCCTTGAAATCATGTCACCTGTATTGCATACCTTGTGTTTGGGGTAAATCGATTTATTTCTTCTCCCTATCCAATAATAGCGAACCTTTTAAGAGACTGAGTACCCAAACTGCAATCTGAACCACATTTACTAATTGCAAACCAACACTACAATTAAACCTGAATACTGAGGTTTTAATTAAAATAAAAAACTACTCATATACTTGGCTAGTGTGTGGACAGAGAGAGCTCTGTGTGCCTGCTGCCGCACACGCGCCACAGGTTTGCCACTACTGTCTCCTACCCACTTGGGAAGACACGCTAACGGCGCCGACCTTCCGTACAAGTGGGGGCACTGTTGAAAGGCATCACTACCTTCTTTCTTTTTTCCTTTTTTCTGGGGCGGGGGGTATAGGCAATCAAACGCCAGACCTTGTGCTTGCCAGGCAGGCACTTGTGCCACTGAGCTATATCCGAGGCCCCTTGGTTTCATTTTCTATTCATGTGTAACTATGATTACTGGAGATGCCCTGGGTTAAGCTATTCTTTTGAAGCAGTGTTACCTATGTTTATTGACTCTTTTGCAAAATATTTTACCTGTCTTCTCCCATTTTCTCTTTACAAGATTCCCTGCATTATTAGATAACAATGGAGGGAATTTTATTGTCTCCATTTTCTAAAAAGGAAAACAGGATTTGAGAGACTTACTGACTTTCTAAGTTGGGAGTGTGCCGCCTTCTAGAGTGTGAGGAAGACCTTCCTCCCTACCACGCAGCCTAGACAAAAGCTGGACAGACTCCGCGAGGTTGTCATATTTAGGGGCGCGTTAGGCTATTCCAGAATATGGATGGGGATCCTGTGGAGTCTTTGTGTCTGAGGTCTGGGATGCACAGATCTGCAGAGCTGGAACTGTGGGTTATGGGTGACAAACAGACATCGGAAGAGATGTCTTCCGTCTTCACTCTCTGAGAAGGCAGTCAGGGGTCGTCACAGGCGCACGGATCCTGAGAATGGGCAGGGGGTGCACGGTACGGCTGGAAGCGGCCCCAGAGCTGTGCTCTGCGCCCCGAGAATGCGCGCAGTCGGAGAGCTCTACCTGAGAATAGACCGAGCAGGGCAGATAACCCAGGGAAGATGGGCTCAGAAATTATTAATCCTGGGCGGGGTACTTTGCAAGCACCACTCCGGACCTGCAGAGAAGCGGGCCACCGCCAGGGACCCAGCTAGCAAGCAGGTCGCTGGATAGGAAAGGTCCCAGCGGAGCGTCTGGTGTCTTCCAGACAGGCTGTGGTTCCACACATCCCGTATGCTCTGACTAATCCTGATGGCGCCGTGTTTATATCTAGCAAGGCCAGCCGTGCCCGGCCGGGGCGTGTCGGGAGTGCTTTCTGCAGGCCGAGCAGCGAGGAAGCCACGGGTGTACTTCCACCGGGCCACTGTCACCGGCCCGCAGCATCCCCTACAATGCCGAGCCACCGCTTTCTCACCCAGAACAAGACGGTGGTTCTACTTCCCGAAGATTCAATGGGAGAAAGGATGTCAGACGGAATCATTTTAGTGACGGCGAACCGCGAGGGCTGTGGCTCCACATCACTGGACGAAATAAGTTAAACACACTCAGCTGGAGTTTTAGGGACCGCCCCCCACCAACTGCGGTCAGGCAGCCAGCGCCGGCACCGACTGGTCCTCACGGGCGACCTCGCCTGCGGGACCGGGGTGCGCCGCGCCCCTGCCTCGCGGGGCTCCCGCCGCTCTCCGCCTTGCAGGGAGGCGGTTCTGCGGGCGCGTTTTGCACACCAACCCGCAGCGCAGCCGGGAGGAGGGGGTCCCCCTGCGCTCTCCGCCGCTCCGCCCCACCCCACCGGCTCTCCCGAGTTCTCCGCACTTGAGTGGGTTTTCCCGGCTGATCGCTGAAGACCGGCGCCGAGGGCGCGCGGGGATCGGAGGGCGCGCAGGCCGGCGGGGACCCTCCCTGCGCCCCTCCGCGCGGGCGGCAGCGGCTGTCTTTCCGCGGGAAGACCTGGGGGGACGCTGGGTCTGCGGCGCCCCCGCCCCCTCGCCTTTTCTCTCTTTCTTTCTTTCCCTGCTTTGGGATCTTGCTGCCGGAGAGCTCTGGAGCGGAGCGAAAGACGCGAGCGCAGCCTTCCGCGGCGGCGCGGGACGGAGCCGGGGCGCACGAGCGGGGTCTCCCCCGGCGCG